CCCTTAAGAAGGGTAGCATCCTTCCTACTGTTCAGCTGCAATAAGGACCCCAGATTCTTGTAAAAAAGGGAAGAGTACTAGTGAGTTACCTAGGAGGGTTTGGATGTAGGATTCACAGTTTCAAGCTGAGCCTTGCAGCTGAGCTGAGAGATTGGGCGGTTTCAGGTTGAGATAAAGGGAGATGTTACGCGCTACCTGCCTGGAGACTCCGTTTTCGCAAAAGTGTTAAGTAGAAAACCCTAAACTGCATGAGCTATAGGAGTGGAACTCTCGTCTGGACAACTCTAGGTCTTCCATTTGTTGCAAATTGCTGCGAGGGCGTTAGCCTGCTGGAGTTAATATACTATAGTTATACAAAAGAACGATCTTGGATGTTATCTAGGCTTCTACCTTCCATGCCCCCTGCATGCAACGTACTTCGCATAGTGTTCAGGAAATGACATGGTTTCCAGCTAGCTTCCAGTCTTGCCGGGCCCAATGTGAAAGTTGTACTAAGGTAGATTCCTACAGTAGCGACCCCAAATAGGACAAAGCCTTGGAGAAGGACCTTGGGAAGGGAGTAAGGGAACCCCATCGGCGATCTTAAGAGGCTCCGCCTTATCTTTCTCCTTTCCTACCAAACTATAATCTAGAACTACTAGGATCCCCCTTAATAAGCCCTGTATTCCTCCCCTATATACTCCCCAATATATCACCCTTTTAGAGGTTTAGACTATAGCTCACCTGATGTACACAACACCCTCAACCCTAAATCCTAAAACGAGGTTTCGGATGTAGGGTTAGGGTTTAAGGTCATCCTTCACACTGTTTTCATGCTTGCCGGAGCACATTGCAGATTCATACTCTAATTAAGTCCCTAAGCCCTAATCCCCAGGGAAAGTTCAAGGGCCAATGTCTCTCTCTTCAGCTTCCTTCGTAACCCTAAGCCCTAAACCCTAAGCCCTCAACCCCAGGAAAGCTCAGGGCCCAATATCTCTGTCTTCAGCTTCTTTCCTAACCCCACGCCCCAATGTCTCTCTGCAGCTTCTTCCCTGAACCCTCAGCCCTAAACCGGGTTAATGTAGACCCATGATTAATAAACCCCCTCCTTTTAAGGGGCTTAATGTTAAGATCCCTGAGTATAATCCCTATTAAGGGGGGGAGGTTATTAATCAGAGGTTTACATTACCAAAGCCATGGTCTGTTCTGGCGCGCCCTAAATACTCGGGGCCGCATTATACCTTGGCATCTTTGGACCAGAATTTTGACAAACCCCCAAAAACCTAAAGCCTAAACCCACAACCCCCCTTTACCTACCCCTCTATATTCCTGTTTTGCCCTTGCAGTCCCAAAGCTTCAAGCTTCAATCCCACAGCCAACACACCATATCTCTCTGTGATCCTATACAAAACCCATAACCCTATACCCAATGTATCCCTCAACCCCTAAACGCTACACCGTGAGCACAAAACAAAGCCTCAAGGCTTGCCAGGTCAGTCTATAGTGTTTAGGAGTTTACTGGGTTGCTGTTAAGGAACTTAAATTAAGTTACTCTATTGGGGAATCCCTATTAATTACTATATATACCCGTTATGGTAACTTAATTTAAGTTCCTTAACAGCAACCCAGTTTGGGGTTTAGGGTTTATAAGGCCTACAGAAGTCCTTGCACTGAAGAAGGGTAAGGTATAGGGTCCAGTCCTGAAGCCTAGAACCTTAACCCTACAACCCCCAAACCCTAAACCCGAAACCCTAAACGCTAAATCCCAAACCCCAAACCCTAAATCCCTAAGCCCTAGACCTCGAATCCCAAACCCTAAATCCCTAAACCCTAAATCCCTAAACCCTAACCTGATGACATCCAAATCCCAACAGGTTGGCTGGGACCTCCCCTTTGACGTCCAGGAAGCTGATCAGAGTCTCAACCTGCGCTGTGAGATTAGGAGTCGGGGAATAATGGAAAAGAAAATAGAAACTACAGGGAGTATATAAGGTTTATAGAGGCATTATAGGGTATATACTGCGGTTATACTGGGATAATGGAAAAGAAAATGGAAACTACGATAATGAGTCTCAACCTACTCCATGGAGTTTAGGAGTTTAGGGGCTTAGGTTTTGGGGGGTTTAGAGTGCAGGGATTTAAGGTTTTGGGGTTTGGGGGCTTAGGGATTTAGGGGTTAGGGGTTTAGGAGTTTAGGGGCTTAGGGTTGTGGAGTTCAGAGTTTCGGGGTTTAGGGTTTACGGTTGCGGTTTTTATTTATCCCCTAGAATACGGCCCTTCTAACTATCAAATGACTGCAGCACCTGGACCTATATACCCTACCCCTTTTTTAGGGTACCAAATTTTGTATATAGAAGATATTAGACCGAAAGTTAGCGATCCCAAAAATGGGTAGGATATAAGGGTCTAGGTAAAGTCCTGTGTTTAGGGGTTGGGGGTTTAGGGCTTAGGGTTGAAATCCCCTGATGACTGCACCTCCCAGTATTCGGGCACCCTAAACCCTAAACCCAAAGCCTCGCTGATGGACGTGTCTGCCACGCTGGCAGTGCCCACACACTCCAAAGCCTTGCGCGGGGCATACTTTGGGCAACTGAACCCTGTGCCCTAAACTGTGGGGGAGAAAGTTTGGGCTTAGGATTTCGGATAGACCCAAATCTGAAACACCTCGTACCCTGCGGCTCTAGGGCCCCTCTTCCTCTAGGAGTTTCCCAGATAGGGGTGATTCGAATGACTGGCTTCTTCGTGGCGATACAGGCGCTGTGCAGCCACTTTATGAGGATGGGGGGCTCATACATATAGAGGTTTCAAAAAAAATTAGGGATCCCTTTGGGGGGGGGGGTGAAAAATATCAAGGATGATCGTATATTGGGTGGTCCAGTGGTGCCCCCCATTTCGGGAAACCTAAGAGTCCAGTATAATAAGGACTCAAAGATCATGGCTTCAGGTAGCAAATGTCATAGTCTCAAAGGTTTTGGTGCCTACCCCGTCCAAGGGCTAGAACATCTCACTGTTATGGAAGTCAGGACCACCAACAACCATATTCAGCGGAAAAAATTACTGGGCTCATGGGGAATTGTTTCGAAACGAGAGAATTTTTGGTACTCTCAACCACCAAACATGAGCACATGATCGTTAAAGATCCTACCTCTGCGGGTCGCGGCTTCGAATTTCAAAAAAGAAAGTTCCCTTGAGGGAGTCTCTTGAATTAGGATGATCGGAATCACCTCTATCCACCACAGGTACGTAGGGTTGAGTCCTAATTAGGTCCAAGCCTAAGAACGAGACCTTACAACGGATTTGTGAGGGCACCAAGCGGTTTGTTAGAGAGCTTGTCCTACACCCTAAACCCTAAACGCATGATAATTCACCTTCAACCCTACGTACCTAATTACAGCTCGCCGTCAAACGGACTAGCTACATTGGAGGGCCCAGGAATGTAGTATTTAGCGTCTACGGTCTTTAGTGTTTAGGGCTTCAGGGTTTAGGGTTTAGGGTTTCCGGGTTTCAGGGTTTAGGGTATGTGGCTTTTAGGGTTTAGCGTTTTAGGGCTTAGGGTTACGGTGCAATCCATCAGATGGCACATATTACAAGAATGGCTAATGCAACTTTGTCATCTTTCTAGATGTTAGGAAGGTAGAGGAATACTCATGGGGGCCGGGTAACCCTCAACCCTGAATCCTGTTGCTTTTTTTTGAAAAGGTCCCAAGTACCCAATATTCAGGTACCTGGGTTTTGGGTAGTAGTAATTATAGTGCAGGTTTTGGGGAAATACCTAGACCCCAAAAGTGTGTAAATAATGGCCTTGCGGGCAATGTTTAGGGATTTTGGGCGATCGTTTCACCTACTTTTGGTGTTTAGGTATATGACAGTTCGGTACTTGGGCACATCGGATTTCTTCAGGAGCCCAGATTTCTCTCAGGTTGCGGCTGCCACTTTGACTTTCGCATCGGGCACCTGCAGCGTCTTACGAAGGGGGCCTAGATAATCAACATCGTGTCTTGGATATTTCTGTGCTCTAGCTATTCTGGGTTGCTGTTAAGGACCTTAAGCTAAGTTACCATAATGGGTATATACCGTAATTAATGGTTTCCCCAACATAGTAACTTAAATCAAGTTCCTTAACAGCAGCCTAATACTACCTAGTACTTATGAGGGTTACAATGCAATGGTTTTTCTTAGCATTCAATATTCTAGCTGTAAGGGTCCAAGTACCCTAAGAACGGGGGGGTGGGGGGGGTGTACTGTAGGTACCAGAAAACCTGTCAGCTTCTGACCCTAGACAGCATGAAAATAACTCGGACTCGGACACAGAAGTACATTTTGAGTGAAAACTCCTAGTATCCCCTTAGTAACCTCTTTAAAGCTCCCCTATATAATACCCCATTTAGGGAGTTTAGACTCTAAAAACCTTATAAGCCCTAAATCCAAATCCCTAAACACTGTAAATTCCCCTATCAATGAGTTTAGACTACAAATCATATGAGAGGGTTATATGTCTTCTTGGGCTTGGGAGTCGCCACCTTAAGAAAAAAGCAAGCCCCGCCTGATCATGATAACGCCGCCCGTCCCTACATCTCTGCAAGTAGTCTACCAGAATGCTGCTAAGAGATCCGGCATGAGCCTAAGTGTCCTATGTTTTGGGGGAAGTCTGGTTGTGTTGTGTATAGTATCATGAAGTCATGCAGGATTTTTTGCATTTGGTTGAATATTAACGAATTCCCTGGGGGGGACGTCGGTTCGGCGGATCGCTGTCATGGGCTTGATTACAAACTCTAGGTGTGGGCTCTTGACTGCTGCGTTCTCCCGTTGGCTAAGCTTGTAAAAGATGGCCATAGTCAGGGCTTGCCGGGTCCATATCAATCATTCTATAAAGATTCTACTGCCAAACCCACGATGCCACAGCAGAGTAACAGGCCCACATTCACCCCTCGAAGCAGAACCCGCACGAGGTTTGCACAATGCACGGGGTACCCTGAATTCAATTTTACAGAGTCCAGCAGCGCTCTTCAACAGCCTTTTTCTCAGGTGTTTGGATCCTTTGGGTTCCAGCAGAAGTCGATGTAAGGCAACATGGACATGAACCCTTGTCTATTCAGATCTGCTGCACGAGCTCGCAAAATATCGACATCCTCCCGCGTCAAGCCTTCAGACAACCAGTCATCGCGATCACCTTGCGTCCAACAACATTAAAACAAGTTGCTATCGTAAGGGAACCCCATGATTTAACACGGTCAAGGGTTTAGGGTTTAGGGTGTAGGGCTACCCATATTATGGCAATTTAGTTCAAATTCCTTAATAGCAACCCAAGTACAGACCGGAAAACTATAGCTCATATGATAGGTTGTCACATTCTGGCTTACAGTCTTCAGTATATTATGGCCGTCAATATTTGGGGTACTCAAAAAGACAATGATTCGCAGAAAGCTCCTTGCCTATAAGCCAGGAAAAACTCCTACATTCAAGTCCCATCTCACAGCTACCCTAAACTCTACACCCTAAACCCTACCTAAACCCCAAAAGTATGTACAAAATAACAGCCCTAAACCTGGAGTAATAGCCATAAGGGCCGTTATTTCACATACTTTTGAGGTCCCAGGTAGACCCTTAACCACTTGGGGGATTGTCAAAATTATGGTCCCTTTGGGGTCCCTATTATAATACGGGGCCTAATACGGGGCCTAATTTAGGGAACCCAAAAAGGGACCATAATTTCGACAATCCGCCAGACTTGCATGCTTAAGCCGAAATGTCCAAGTACAGCGCAAGCAGATGCATCCCTTAGAGTTGCTTTGGGGGTTGTGGGTTAAAGGTTTAGGGTTTAGAAACCTTTTGGGGTGTAAGGGTTTAGGGTTTAGGGTTTAGGGTTTGGGGGCTTAGGCTTTAGGGGTTTAGGGTTTAGGTTTGGGGGTTTAGGATTGAGGGATGAGGGAACCATCAGCCCCTGGCCCTACGTTGGCTACTCGGAGCCTCTGGTCAAATCCTTAGAACCCATAGCCCGGAACCCTGCGCTGAAAATCTCTCTAAGTTATAGAAAATTTTCCAAACCCGCAAACATGTTGCTACTCATTCCCTACCAGGACCCTCCTTGTACCCTTTAAGTGGGGGTGCATGGTCCCTATGTGATTACATAGAGGGTGGGTAGAGGTTCTAGGTACATGGGTTGGGTGAGGTCGATGCAAGCTTGCTCTGCCCAAGGGGCTTTCATGCTTGCCCCGGTTTTTGCGCGACTCGACGTCTGGGAGTGCCAGGCAGCTAGCGTTGGACCCAGGAGGCAACATTGCTCGGAGCGTCTCCATCGGCCTCAGGGTTACCTAAACCCCAAAAGTCTGTCAAAATGTGCCTAACCAACTAAAAACCGCCAAAAAGGCTACAGCTTTACATCCTTTAGAAATCCAGGTAAAAGCTTCGTTTTTTTGGGGAGGCTTGGGGTTTCGAGTTTAGATGGGCTTGGAGTTTGCGGCTTTGGGGGGTTTGGGGCTTCAAGGGGCTTGAATTTTTGGGTTTTGGAGTGTGGGGTCTGGGGCCTTGGAGTTCGGGGTTTGGGGTTCGGAGCGGGTGGAGTTTGGGGTTTGGGCACTTGGAGTTCGGGCTATGGGGTTGTAGGAGTTTGAATTTGGGGTTTGGGGTTTGGAGCTTTTGGCTTTTGGGAATGTTGATTTTTGTTGTTTGGAGTTTCGAGCTTGCCCAGAGGCCTCGGATGAAACTTCTCTTAAGCAGACAAGCTGACCCTTCACCTAAACAAATTTGGCAAGTGCCAACACCCTAAACCCCAAATGATGCTGTCAGCCCTGTGGGTAGTGTGGTATAGCTCTCCCACGGCGACCTTAAACCCTATAGGGTCCTGATTCTGGGGGGTGAGGTTGCCCAATGCCTCTTACGAGTTTTTTTAAGTTTTAGATGTAAGCTCAACGTGGGGATTCAGGGTGCAGAAAGTGTAGCTGGTTGCGCTCTGTATTACTCTTATATGCCCAGAACATCGAGAAAGATAATTCAACTGCTTGTACCCATGATTTTGAGGGACCAATTCTAGGAAGCAGAGCACCGTCTGACAGCTGCCTAAACCCCAAAAGCATGTAAAAATAATAGCCCTAAACCCATACTAACAGCCATTCAGGCATTTTTACATACCTTTGGGATCCAAGTAGACCCCAGACCTGAGACTATCACCCTCAAACTACACAACTGGCATGGGCTTCTGTCTACTTACTGGTGGAGTGGGTACAGGTAGCCTTAGACGTGTACCTTTAAAGGGTCCCTATTCCCTTTCACCGCATATGGATCCTCATGAAGAAACCACCCCAGAAGAATAGAGGATCTACAGAGGATCCAAACCTTGACTTATATGACCCTCAAACAGTACAAAGGATTGGCTAGCGCAGGCCAGGTGTGAAAAGTAGTGGCGTCAAAAAAATAGAATAGGCTTCAAGCACCTTTCATTATTTCTGTGTGAGCGCTTTCAAGGAGTACCCGGAAACTCCCCAAGCTTGTACAGGAATCCCCTCCCCCTAATACTAACCCCCCCACCCCCACTAATATTAAGTATTCCCAAATTACTATAACATACCAGAATGGGGAGTATTCATTATGAGAAGGGTGCGGGAGGTTTGATATTAGGGGGAGGGGATTAGAAGAAGCCCTACAGAATACAACATTCCTTGTCTTTGTCCGCGTTCTGTTGAAGTATGTGGTTCTCCATGTCCCTAAACCCTACAGTGGCCTCCACTTCCCTCAGGGTCCATATTTAGGTACATTGGGCCCACATTACATACTATGTAGGGACTTGGACCCTTCGGGCTTTGTTACCATCTGATCCCTAAACCCTAAACCAAAAAAACAACTATGAACCAGTAAGTTGTAGTCTTGTAGTCCGGCCTGCGCGGGCAGGGAACCGGGATTGTACCGGCTTTGCATCGACCCATCGGCTCTATCGCCGAGGCACGTAGCTTTCCGCGACTCTGGTAGAACGTTCCTGGGTCCAGGGTTCAGGGCTTGACGTTTAGGGCTTATAGGGTTTAGGGTTCAGGTTTTAGGGTTCCTGGGTCAGTCTTCACCGTGCTACAACTGAAAGATATGAGGTTTTCGGCTTTATTGGGTTTACTGCGGACTACATCCAGAGAAGGGAACAGCCCTAGCGACCAATCTCTCTCGCTAGTAAACTGGGTTTACAAGAAGTGCTAAAAAGGGAATATATCAAAGGGGGGTTTAAGGGGATTATCTTTCCGTATTCCCTGCTAAGCACAAGTAAGTTTGAGGCTTCGTCGCCTAGGTTCCGTCATGAGGGTACCAGCAGCCAGCGGGGGCATTCTTCTCAACGCAATACTTCTGGGCATAGGCAACGGAACCTAGTTTAGAGTTCAGGTTGAGGGTTACTGACTTTTCTGACTGCCAAAAAAATTAATCACCATAACAGAACAACTTGCGAAAGCAGCCTGTTTGGAGGGTTCGGGGGACTTAATGGGCAGCAGGTTTATAATCAGGATACCTGGGGTTATTGCAAGGATGTAAAGTGGTGATAAATGGACTTGGCAAGTCCTCCTGACCCTAAACCCTCACCTCCTCTTACCCTTATATACTAAGTCCCCACTAAGACTCTCCAAGCACCCTAAACCCTAAACACTAAACCCCAAACCCTACACCCAAAACCATAAACCTTAAACCTTGGGTACTGCCCCGCCTCAGTAACAGTTGGATAAGAATTATAGTATGGTTATATATAGCCCTTCATAGGACCCCGAATATAGACTGTTACTGGGTGGGGGCAGTACCCAGCCTAAACCCTAAACCCCAAACCCAAACCTGAAACCACCCCCAGGGGCCCTCGATGATGTACGTCGCGATGTCCAGGGAGGCGGCCGGATTCTTTCTCGTGCACATCAGCAAATCCTGAATCTGCCCTGGAGCACTCGAACCATATGGGTATTTCCCAAAATGTGGGTCCCAATCTAGGGTTTGGGGTTTAAGCCCTAAGCCCTACCTAAACCCTAAAGATATGCAAAATAATAGCCCTAAACCCATAATAACAGCCTCAAGGGCGCTAGTCTACATGGTTTTCAAGGTTCCGGTAAACCCTAATCCCTAAACCAAGCCCTAAACCCCTACGACCTAAACCCTAAGCTCTANNCCCTAAACCCTAAATCCAAAGGAACAAACAAATTTGGCGAGTTTTGTGGGGTGGAGGGGATGGGCCTAGGGCTAGCAAAGCAAACAATAGAACATTGAAAATAACAACATAGTTGCACGCACAGAAGTGAAAATCAGAGCAGCAAAATGAACAATACTATGAACATTAAACACAGTGATCATAACTCGTATTACTATAAAGACCGTCAGCGCATCTCAATGAGTCATGGTAATAATATGAGGCAAATAGCTACCTGTCAATGCCAGCATGAAAAAGTCAAGTGTTAGCATTGACAACTATGTTCAGGACTTCCCAAGAATCCGATCGGGAGAGTTCCTTGGCAAATGGGTCGTTCTTCATGGTGGCACTGGTGGAATACCATTCCAAACAGCTCTGCCAACCTCGTTGCACCAGCTTCCGCTGAATGAACACCTGGGATGCTGTGGATTGTAGGTTTAGGGCTTGGGGTTTAGGGTTTAGGGTGTCAATTCCATTCCGTCCGCCATGAATACCTTCCTGTTCACGCAACTGGCGATTCAGCAAGTAGTGTTTGACGAATCTGAAGTCCCAGAAGTATAGTGCAGAGTTCTAGGGATGTTGAATCGAGTGGAGACTGGCTAGGGCCAATATCGTCAGGTACCAAAAAAACAGTTAGTTGTCCAGTCCCCAGGCACCAAAAAGATTAAACTGTTCTTTTAGAAGCGGCTTAACATACCCAACAAGTTTAAAAGTTTGGCTACTGGACTACTGAGTATGAAGACTAAACCCATCTTTGCCAAAACTTGTACCGCACCCAGCTACTCTGGCTTGCTCCCACTCTGAACGCGATGCAAAGCCCACCATGACCTGATCTCAAGGTTCCTTGATGGGCTTCAGGTTTAGGGAATGATGGTTGCGAGATTAGGGTTCAGGGATTCAGGGTCTAGAGCTCAGGGATTAAGGTTTAGGGTTTTGAGATTGGGGTTTAGG